CTAGACCCGGACTAAACCAGATCTAGACCCGGACTAAACCAGATCTAAACCCGGACTAAACCAGATCTAGACCCGGACTAAACCAGATCTAGACCCGGACTAAACCAGATCTAAACCGACTAAACCGGACTAAACCAGATCTAGACCCGGACCCGGACTAAACCAATCTGATAAACTAGACCCGGACTAAACCAGATCTAGACCCGGACTAAACCAGATCTAGACTAAACCAGATCTAAACCCGATCTAAACCGGACTAAACCAAGATCTAGACCCGGACTAAACCAGATCTAGACCCGGACTAAACCAGATCTAAACCCGGACTAAACCAGATCTAAACCAGATCTAAACCCGGACTAAACCAGATCTAAACCCGGACTAAACCAGATCTAGACCCGGACTAAACCAGATCTAGACCCGGACTAAACCAGATCTAAACCCGGACTAAACCAGATCTAAACCCGGACTAAACCAGATCTAGACCCGGACTAAACCAGATCTAGACCCGGACTAAACCAGATCTAGACCCGGACTAAACCAGATCTAAACCCGATCTAAACCCGGATGACTAAACCAGATCTAAACCCGGACTAAACCAGATCTAAACCAGGACTGAGCCATGACTAAACCCGGTCTAGATCAGGTGTAGACGTCTCACTTCTCGAGGCTCTTGAGGATGTAGTTGTAGTTGTTGTGGAGGAAAATGGCGCTCAGAGCCTGATCTTCATAAACCTTCGACTTGGACAAAAGATTCAGCTGCAGATTCCCCAAAACTTTACCTGAAAAACACAAAACAGACGAGTTCAGACTGAAACTGGAGCAGGTTTAAAGACCCACATTACCCTGTTATTACCCTGTTACTACACTCTTATTACACTTTTATCACACTGTTATTACACTCTTATTACACTGTTATTACACTCTTATTACACTGTTATTACACTCTTATTACACTGTTATTACACTCTTATTACACTCTTATTACACTGTGTTCTCATGTATGTTCCTCGTTCCTCGAACTCGTCCTCGTTGTGTTTTGTTTCATTCACATGTTTGAGTGACTCTTTATTATTCGTCTGTCCACATCTCCAAAACTCTGAACGCTCTGTTCTACCTCGTGATGTCATGAAGTGATAGTTTCCAAGTGAACAGCTCGTTTTTCCTTCAGTTCAGTAGAGTTCAGTGGCTCCAGAGCTGCTCACTGATGTTACTATAGGTGAGTTTCATTGTTGACAAAAGCGCGCGTTGCATGCTGGGAATTATTTTGGTCGGCAGCAATAAACACTAATTCAACATGACGGACGGAGCGAGAAAACACGTAAAGGGTATTGATCCTGGTTATTTATCCACTCTAACGGCAGAGGACCCAAGACCATTTGACCAGAAATTGGTCATAAACATCGACGGACGACAAATCACCCTTTTCAACCCCGACAAAAGGTGGAACAAACCAAATTTCTGGTCAGAATCACCAACTACCTGGACAAATATTCACTTGGGTGATATCCACAATGACTTGGTGGAAACTCCTGGGCCATTCACAGCAGAAAAGATGAAAACCTCCAAGAGTCTCGATGTGTTGTTGAACTTGTTGGAGTCCACGGTTTGTTAGGATCTTCTACGTTTGCTCTGCGGATGTTTGAAAGTCGTTTAATTCACCGTTAGTGGTTCTTTTCACTCAGAATATGAAAAAGACATTTTTCTTCTTCCGTGTTTCTATTTGTGCGTCCGATAATGCAGCAGGAATTGACCATTATCGGGGAGAAATACGCGAGGTTACGCACTGTGTTTGACGCTATCGTGTTTCTTGCCTCTGACCAAAATATTTCCCAGCAGCAACGCGGGCTTTTAATAACAATGACGTCAGCTCAAACTCGACTATAGTGAAACATGAGGAGGATCTGAGCCACAGAACTGTGATCAGGGTCTGTGTCTTCGGCTCATGGGACCAAAAATAATTTTCTCTTCCACATTTACTTAATGAATCCAGGTGAGCTCCTCCCACCGTGTGACGTCTGTAACGAGCACAACCTGGAGCGTTTGGACCAATCAGAGCGAGAGCTGCCAGAGCGACGAGGCTCAGTCTGACAAAGATCACGTTAGGAGCCACGAGGATTTAAACATTAGGGTCCGGTCAAGCAGAAGTAAACAACAAGGCCAAAAACTCAAGTTAATGCGTCTGATATAAAAGTGTATTGAACAGATACATATGTACTCTAGTTTATCAAACTGTTGACCTTTTTTCTGTACCATTTTTGGTTCTAAAGTTCCATATGTTTTAAACAGACCATGTATGAAACATGGAACAAAAATTATTTCCCAAATTTCAAAGACCTAAAAAATCATGTAAATAAATGGATGTATTTCATCATATCTTGTTATTCCATCTTTGAACTGTTGATGAAGGGACATGATTTTTCAGATGTATTTAAAATGATAAACATTTACTTGGAAGGACTGACATATTTTATAGAAATAGTTTCCTTTCATTTTGAAGTAATATTAAAGTATTCAGAAGAAAAAAGCTGATAAATGAGGTAAAATCCTGCACCTTCTACTTGTTTGAACAATTTTCCCTCCGTTACTTTTCCCTCCGTTACCATGACCTTTCTTAATAAAAAATCTCATGAGTCAAAAAGTCAGAGGTTTTTCAACCTAATCTTGTACCATGTGGTAGAAAACTATATGAAGCAAATATTCAAACCAGTTTGTTAAGGATATGGAAGTGAGAACCAAGAGTTTATCACTGTTTGGGATTTATTGACCAAAAAGTGCTGCATATTTCATTCCCTCCGTTACCGACATGAGTTTTTAAAATTTTTTGTCAACAAGTTGAAAGAATATCCCAGGTTTAACTTGACCCTGTTGGAGTGTAACTCTTTCCTACATTCTGATACTTTACTTATTTCAATAGTTCCTCTAGTTTCTGAATAAGAGACATTTGAATGTCAAAAATCTGCCCCTGTTTCCCTCCGTTACCACTTGACCAGACCCTTTTTTTAAAATTATGTTGTGAAAACAGAAAAGAATCGTACAAAACCCAGAGCTGCAGAACTTGACTTGACTTTAAAAGTTTAATAAATGTTGCAGACTCACAGATGTAGGAGCTGAGCAGACGTTTGTTAAAATCCGACGTGTACGACGAAGACGAAGAACTCTCTACAAAAAAACAAGACAAAACATGATCATGTATGTAAAAATATTTAACTTAAAGCTTCACTGTGTCACTTTTCGGTCACGTGTTTCTGTGGAGACATCACTGTTCTGTCTGGAATGTTCCGCAGTGTGACTTTAAACAGCTCCACTTTACATTTATTCGCTCACGGGTGGTTTTAGAGCTCACAAACACCTAGATCTGACCTGTAACTCCATCTGCTCTGGTCTCCGTGACGACAGAAACACTCCAGATGAATCAGGAACATCTCCATGGAGACGAGCGACAGAAAAGTGACGCAGTGCAGCTTTAAAGAGAAATGAGGACACGGTGAAGAGGGTTTGACGTGAGGACGGGACGATGTGGAAAATGCGAAGAGAGGGATGAAGGGAATAAAAAAATAACGGCGTGAAGGAGGGAAGAGACGGGTCACATGACTCAGGCGGAGATTCAAACGGACCAATCAGACGCAGCCTTACCTCGGGGGTCCAGGGGGATGTTATAAGTGTCCCCCAAAACTGAGCAAAGCAGCGGGAAAGAGAGGGAGAAGAAAGGAGAGGAGGGGAGGAGAAGAGAAGAGAGGAGAGAGGGAAGAGGAAGAGAGGAGAAGAGAGAGAGAGGAAGAGGAGAGAGGAGAGAAGAGAGAGAGAGGGAGGAGGAGGAGAGGAGGAGAGAGGAGGAGAGGAGATGGAGGAGAGAGGGAGAGAGGAGGAGGAGAGAGACAGAGAGAGGAGGAGAGGAGAGAGGAGGAGGACAGGAGGAGAGAGGAGGAGAGGAGATGAGGAGGAGAGGCAAGACGGGGAGAGGACGGAAGAGGAAGAGAGACAAGGAGAGAAGGAAGGAATGAAAGAAAAGAGAGTGAGAGAGGAGGAGAGGGAGGGGGTGAGAGAAGGAAGAAGGAAAGATGAGAGGGGAGAGAGAGAGGAGAGAGTGTTAGAGTTAGTGCCTCTGAGCAGAATCAGGTTAAAATGTGAAAACAGCAAAAGCAGCGTCTGAACTGAAGAGGAAGGAAAGAAACGCCACAGGTAAATATTATTATCATTATGTTTATACGAATTTAAACAAAAAACACATAATCCTCTGTTCATATCTCAGGTTTATCTGCACTGGCTCCAGGGCTTTTCTGTCAGACAGAATTTTTATTTATTTTTTCCGCAGTTTTGCTGAACTTTCAAATAAAAACTCTGACAGAACTTGTACAAAGACAAATTTGAATCTGAGTTTGAAGAGAGCATCAAAACTGTTTAAAATATAAATTCATTTAAATATTGAACAAGTTCACAACTACTCAACAACAATACTAAGCCAAGTCTAAACTAGATCTAAACTAGGATTGGAACAGGTCTAACCCCGGTCTACACCAGGACTAGAGCAGGACTAATGTAGGTCTAAACCAGATCTAAACCAGGTCTAAACCCAGTGTAAAGCAAGTCTAAACCCGGTCTGTAACAGGACTATAACAGGTCTGAGTTCAGTACCTTGTGAGGCGAGCATGGCTCCTGCAGTCTCGTGAAAGTCCAGGAGCTGCTGCAGGAACAGAATCGCCTGAAGGAGAAAACACAAAAACACACAAACACACAACATGATTAAAGCAACGCACACAAAACACAAAACAGGCAAATCACACACACAGTGTGCAGCATCTGAAACATGTGTGTGTCCAGACCACAGACGATGTAAACACACACGTCTCTGCTGTGTGAGACAAACACTGTGGCTCTCATGTCAGAAACACTCTGGAGATAAAACTGGAAGTTTTAACACCACAACAGTAGTAGTAGTAGTAGTAGTAGTAGTAGTAGTAGTAGTAGTAGTAGTAGTAGTAGTAGTAGTAGTAGTAGTAGTAGTAGTAGTAGTAGTAGTAGTAGTAGTAGTAGTAGTAGTAGGTAGTAGTAGTAGTAGTAGTAGTAGTAGTAGTAGTAGTAGTAGTAGTAGTAAGTAGTAGTAGTAGTAGTAGTAGTAGTAGTAGTAGTAGTAGTAGGTAGTAGTAGTAGTAGTAGTAGTAGTAGTAGTAGTAGTAGTAGTAGTAGTAGTAGTAGTAGTAGTAGTAGTAGTAGTAGTAGTAGTAGTAGTAGTAGTAGTAGTAGTAGTAGTAGTAGTAGTAGTAGTAGTAGTAGTAGTAGTAGTAGTAGTAGTAGTAGTAGTAGTAGTAGTAGTAGTAGTAGTAGTAGTAGTTGTAGTAGTAGTAGTAGTAGTAGTAGTAGTAGTAGTAGTAGTAGTAGTAGTAGTAGTAGTAGTAGTAGTAGTAGTAGTAGTAGTAGTAGTAGTAGTAGTAGTAGTATAGTAGTAGTAGTAGTAGTAGTAGTAGTAGTAGTAGTAGTAGTAGTAGTAGTAGTAGTAGTAGTAGTAGTAGTAGTAGTAGTAGTAGTAGTAGTAGTAGTAGTAGTAGTAGTAGTAGTAGTAGTAGTAGTAGTAGTAGTATAGTAGTAGTAGTAGTAGTAGTAGTAGTAGTAGTAGTAGTAGTAGTAGTAGTAGTAGTAGTAGTAGTAGTAGTAGTAGTAGTAGTAGTAGTAGTAGTAGTAGTAGTAGTAGTAGTAGTAGTAGTAGTAGTAGTAGTAGTAGTAGTAGTAGTAGTAGTAGTAGTAGTAGTAGTAGTAGTAGTAGTAGTAGTAGTAGTAGTCAGTAGTAGTAGTAGTAGTAGTAGTAGTAGTAGTAGTAGTAGTAGTAGTAGTAGTAGTAGTAGTAGTAGTAGTAGTAGTAGTAGTAGTAGTAGTAGTAGTAGTAGTAGTAGTAGTAGTAGTAGTAGTAGTAGTAGTAGTAGTAGTAGTAGTAGTAGTAGTAGTAGTAGTAGTAGTAGTAGTAGTAGTAGTAGTAGTAGTAGTAGTAGTAGTAGTAGTAGTAGTAGTAGTAGTAGTAGTAGTAGTAGTAGTAGTAGTAGTAGTATAACAGTAGTACTCTTACGTTGCTGGTGAGTTCGTGCACTGTTCCGTCTTTGGGCATGTTGTATTCTTTATCCGGGTCGTTCTGAACAAACACAAAACACACACGTTTACTATTACTTACTATATTATTATAAGTATCTACAGCAGTACCCACAGTATTGTAGTACCCACAGTATTGCAGTACCCACAGTATTGTAGTACCCACAGTATTGCAGTACCCATTGTATTACAGTACCCACAGTATTGCAGTAAAAACAGTATTGCAGTACCCATTGTATTACAGTACCCACAGTATTGTACCATTGTACAGTACCACAGTATTGCAGTACCCATTGTATTACAGTACCCACAGTATTGTAGTACCCACAGTATTGCAGTACCCATTGTATTACAGTACCCACAGTATTGCAGTACCCATTGTATTACAGTACCCACAGTATTGCAGTACCACAGTATTGCAGTACCCACAGTATTGCAGTACCCACAGTAGTACCTTGATACTGTCAGCGAACTCCTCCAGAGCTTTGGCGCCGATCGTTTCCATGGAGGTGATGAGAGCCGGGAGTTTGTTCTTGGTGCTGGCGGCTGTGCCCTGGACACACACGAGTACACAAGAGAATATATATACTCTATATCATACACTGTACAATATATATACTCTAATTATATATATGTGTGTGTGTGTGTATATGTATATATATATATATATATATATATATACACACACACTGGATATAGTACACTATATATATATTCTATATACTGTATATACTGTATATTCTGTATATGTGTATCGAGCAGGGGTCTCCAGTCTGTCTCTCAGGAGCTGCTGGTCACTCTTCACCTCCGTCACCAAGAGATTTCTGAATTATTCATATTGTGCTGCATAAGTAAAATTTGACAAATGAAATGTCTTTCCCCACAGGACGTGTGTCATTTTGAAACTTTGTGCTCTAATAAATGTACAATAGTTTATGTTTGATACATGTCGAACTGTTCCTCATGAGGCTGTAGATCTTTTATTTACTCTGTTTCTTGTGATCGTTAAAATAATCAGCTCCAGTATTTTTGTTTTGTAAACGAGCTCACCAGAGGAAAAAGATGGAGACCTCTGATATACGGAATATTAGACTATATTTTACATTTTACTGTGTGGACTGTGCACACTGTGTCTGCAGCTGATGTTTTCATTCTCTGGGGCTGTGACGCTAACTGAAGGCACTGCTCTGTTATTACTCTGGAACTGTCACAGCAGTAGTATTTGTAGTAGCAGTAGTAGTACTTCATGTAGTACCTGTAGTGTATTATCGAAGTCTCCCTTGTTGTTCTTGAGGTGTCGGAGCACGGGGAAGATGGAGAGCACGGCGCTGTAGTCGTGTCTGAAGATCGCTCTCCTCGCCGCCGCCACCACCCCCTCCCCCTCCAACATCAGACTGTCCAGCGCCTCCTGCGGGACACACACGGAACTGTCAATCAAACTCCAACATCAGACTGTCCAGCGCCTCCTGCGGGACACACACGGAACTGTCAATCAAACTCCAACATCAGACTGTCCAGCGCCTCCTGCGGGACACACACGGAACTGTCAATCAAACAAACAACATCAGACTGTCCAGCGCCTCCTGCGGGACACACACCGAACTGTCAATCAAACAAACAACATCAGACTGTCCAGCGCCTCCTGCGGGACACACACGGAACTGTCAATCAAACTCCAACATCAGACTGTCCAGCGCCTCCTGCGGGACACACACGGAACTGTCAATCAAACAAACAACATCAAACTGTCCAGCGCCTCCTGCGGGACAAACACCGAACTGTCAATCAACAAACTCCTCCGTTTGCGTCAGATGCCCTCCCCGTGCGTCCGTTTGCGTCAGATGCCCTCCCCGTGCGTCCGTTTGCGTCAGATGCCCTCCCCGTGCGTCCCTGACCTGTATGAGCGAGTCGAAGGTCTTCTTCTGGTGGTGTTCGGGGATGATCTCCGTGAGGAGCGCGTACTCGCTCTGGGCCAACTTCACGAAGGCGCTGATGCAGTGAATGTACGAGTCGATCTCGATGTCCAGCACTTCGTCTTTACCTGAGACACAAACGCGAACGCAGCTCAAAAACACGGCAAAAACACGGCGAAAAGACGACAAGAACACGACAAAAACACAACAAAATCCTCCACGTGTGTCAGATGTGAAATTTAGCTTCTACAAACTTGACAGGATAATAAATAAAGCTTTTCCAAGTCTTAGTTCACATTATAAACCAAAATCTAAAGTCTCTAAATGTCTAATCTCATCTGTGTTAAATATTATTGTTTTCTAGAATGTTCCATCGTCTTCCTGTATTGTGCTAAAAGTTTTAAGTCGTGTTCTGATGTTGTTTCCTCGTCAAAAACACAAACATGTCTGCAGTTGTGTTTTGTTTCATTCACGTGTTTGAGTAAAACTTTATTATGAGTCTGTTTACGTCTGCAACGATGAAAACGCTCTGTTCCACCTCGTGATGTCATGATGAAGAGGTGGTTTTTAAGTTAAGAGAAAGAGAGAGACAGAGAGAGAGAGAGAGAGAGAGAGAGAGAGAGAGAAAAGAAGAATGTGGGGGTGACAGAGAGGAGGGATAGAGAGAGGGCGAAAGAGAGGAAGGGATAAAGACAGATGAGGTGAGAGAGGGAGAGGGATGGAGAGATGGAGGGATAAACGGAGAGAGAGGGAGAGAGAGAGGGGGTAAAGCGAGAGAGAGCGGGAAAGAGAGAGAGAGATGAAGAGAGAGAGAGGAGAGAGACGTAACGAGAGAAGCAGACAGAGAGAAGGGGAGAGAGAGAGAGCGAGCGATAAATATGAAGAGAGAGAGCAGGAGGGAGAAAGAGAGATGGAGAGAAAGAGACAGATGGTGAGAGAGAGAGATAGAGAAAGAGGGGAGAGATGAAGAGAGAAAGCGGGAGGGAAAGAGAGAGGGGTAAAGAGAGATGGCGAGAGAGAGAGGAGAGAGACGGAACAGCAGGAGCAGGAGAGAGAGAAAGGGAGAGAGAGGGATAAAGATAGATGAAGAGAGAGGAGAGAGAGAGGGAGGAATAAAGATAGAGAGAGAGAGATTGAGCGAAGAGAGATGGATGGAGAGAGAGAGAGAGCGAGCGGGATAAAAAGAGATGAAGAGAGAGATGGAGAGAGAGAACAGAAGCAAGAAAGAGAAATGGAGAGAAAGAGAGATGGAAAGAGAGAGAGGGAAGGATAAAGAGAGACAGAGAGAGAGATGGAGAGAGAAAGGGAGAGTGGGACAGAGAGAAATGCAATGAGAAAGGGAGAGAGAGAAAAAGAGAGAGAGAGAGGGAGGGCTAAAGAGAGATGGAGAATGAGAGAAAGGGGAGAGAAAGAGAGTTTCAAGTTCACAGCCGCTTTTACATTTAGTTTAGTAAAGATCGGTAATTCCAAGGCTGAAATGATCCAAACGATTCCAGTGAAGGTGTGTGGAGTTTAAAAACACTGTGGAGCACTTCCTGTATCCCCACATGATGACATCACAAGGTGGAACAGAGTGTTTTCAGTTTGAGAGAAGAAGGGTTTGTGTGTTAAACATGTGTGAATGAAACAAAACACATCTCCAGGTCTGTTTGTGATGAGGAAACAACATTAGAGAACAACAGAAATCAGAAAATAAGGTTTAAAAAAAATTCAAAATAATTGTTGATATTTTTCCGTGACTCACCGGTGCTGCTCCTGTCGCTCGGGTCCGACAGAATTTTCAGTCGAAGCTCGTGATCTGTTTTAATTTCATTTTTAATTTCACATTTGATTTAAAAAAACCACCACCAGCCGAGGCACCGCGATAGAGCAGAGTCACCGGAACATGAGCCAAAACCAAAAAAGGGATACACAAGGAAAACCCGGCCGAGAACCAGGACTAAACCAGGACTAAAGCAGGACTAAACCGGGACTGAGACCACCCAAAAGGACCCAAGTGTGTGTGGAGTTAGAGACAGACAGAAGAGAGAAACAAAACCAGGTTCAATCCCAAGTACCGGGTTGAGTCCGAGTTGAGACCGAGTTGAGTCTTGGTTGAGTTCGGGTTTTAGTCCAGGTTGAGTAAAGGTCGTGTCCAGATCAAGTCCAGTTTAGTCCTGTTTTAGTCCTGTTTTAGTCCAGGTTCAGTCCAGGTTAAGTCCAGGTTTAGTCCAGGATTAGTCCAGGATTAGTTCTGGTTTAGTTCTGTTTTAGCCCAGGTTTAGTCCAGGTTTAGTTCTGTTTTAGTTCTGGTTTAGTCCAGGTTTAGTTCTGGTTTAGTCCAGGTTTAGTCCAGGTTTAGTCCAGGTTTAGTTCTGTTTTAGTCCAGGTTTTAGTTCTGTTCTACTCCTGTTTGAGGCCAGTTTTTCTTCTGTTTTAGTCCTATTTTAGCCCAGGTCTAGTCCGGGTTTAGTCCAGGTCTAGTTCAGGTTTAGTTCAGGTTTAGTCCAGGTTTAGTCCAGGTTCATTACAGGTATAGTCCAGTTTTTAGTCCAGGTTTAAGTCCTGTTCTAGTTCAGGTTTAATCCAGGTTTAGTCCAGGTTTAGTCCAGGTTTAGTCCAGGTTTAGTCCAGGTTTAGTCCAGGTTTAGTCCAGGTTTTAGTCCAGGTTTAGGCCGTATTTTAGTCCATGTTTCAGTCATGGCAGAGTCCTGGTTGAGTCCAGGTTGAGTTCTAATTCAGGCTGACTTTAGTCCTGGTTCAGTCCTTTTTATACACTGGTCTTTTCTTAGTCTTAGTCTTTTCTAATCCAGATTGAGTCCTGGTTAAGACCTGGGACAGTCCAAGTCAAATTTTGGTCTGATTCTAGTTTAATCCTGGTTTAGTCATTATTTTAGTCCCTGGTCCAGTCCTGGTCTTAAGATGGTTTTTGAGCAGTTACCGTCCAAATGCGTAAAGTTAGATCGACTATAGGTCTGGTTTGGTCTCTCGGTCTAGTCCTGGTTGAGTCCTGGTTGAGTCCTGGTCCAGTCCTGGTCCAGTCCTGGTCCAGTCCTGGTCCAGTCCTGGTCTTAAACCGGTTTTGAGTCCCACAGAGCAGTTACCTTCCAGAGGAGTGAGGTTAGATCCGCCCTTTTTCCCATCGAGCTGTGAATACTGTTTGAGAAGGTTCTGCGCTTTACGGATGGTCCCTACAGCGCCACCCACAGGAAACAGGAGGAAGAGCACGAAGACAGAGAGAAGAGGAAGAGGAGGAGAGAGAGAGAAGAAGAGGAAGAGGGGGAGGAACCAAGGAACCAAACAAGGAGATAGGAAACCAAAAAGGAGACATTGAAGGAGAGAAAGAACAGCCTTAAAGAGCCAGCAGGGATGTAACAATATGTACACGTCATGTGAAATTATTATCAAACTCTCAAAAAGAAAAACAAAAAGTCCAAAAAACATGACCAGAATTAACAAAAGTAATCAAATTTTTTAAGTTTTGATGAATTAGTAAGTCCCTGTACGTGATTTTTCCATGTATTTGAGCATATGTCCACTGTGCAATGTCTGTACCTGTTACGTTTGGGCACCTTTTTTTTGCGCCTGTATTTTTTTTTGGTCTATTATTTGTAGTATTTTTCCCAGTTTTGTTTAGAAAGTTTTTCTTATTTTTGAATGGTTAAAGTTTATTTTTGATGGCTCCTCATTTCTAGCCTGATTCTTTGTGGAAACTGTTTGACCTCACAGCATTAGGATTCGTTCGCTGGATGGTAGGTGGGGACTTTTTTTATTTCACCAATCACTGCTGTTGGGTCGTGACGTTATGTAATGCTCCACTAACAGGATTAACTGGTTTATTAAACTTTTCCCAAATCCCGTAGGAAGAAGGACAATAACGTCTTTCCCCTTGATAAAATTCACCAAACATTCTCTTTGTTCTGGCTTTAAATCCTCGATCTCGGGAATCGTTGACAACACAGAATGTCTGGCTCTTCTCTAATTGGCTGGTGTCCGAACTCACACTTCCGGGGTTTTTGTAAACCGTCTAGTCTAGTGTATTCTGATTCCTGACCAAGTCGTTGGAGAGAGATAAAACTGAGCGGAGGCACTAGGTGGCGCCAGCCTGGCTACCTCATTTCCACTAGGAGCCTTTAAATCGTACGAGCCCGGTGTTCCGTCCCTCTCCCCCCCCCCGCTGTGGCTCGCTGTTCCCAAAGCACAAGCACATCCTCACACTGGGGAGGTGCCTCACTGACTCCAATGCCGATTTGTTAACCTTTTGTTAGCGTTGCTTTGTTTGCCCTGGTGAGTCCAGACATCGCGTTTTCATTGTTGCCCAAAAGAGAAATTCAATTTGTCAACTGGACAAAAGTTTATTTTGGTCGAATAAGTTTCTCAGCTCATCCAATCTGCTTCATAATTTCTGGTCAGATGCTGATGGACACTTCCTTATATCTGCCTAAAGGAAGAGCTAACTACTGAAACTGCTCTGAAACTCACACACATGCTTGTTTACAGTTTCTCTTAGATCGCACGGCCAATTGAACAAATTAGCAGAATCATTCAGAATCATAATGGAGCTTTCACATCTCTGGGCCTGACCTGACTGACTACTCCTAATAATAATAATAATAATAATAATAATAATAATAATACAGTAGACATATGTAGCGCTTTTTTGGACACTCAAAGACGCTTTACAAACAAATAAAACTACTACTACTCCTATTGTTCCCTTTGTTTGTTTTGATTTAGGTTTGAGGATGGAGTTGTAGATGGGAGACAGATGATGATCTGAGTCCTCCATTTCTGTTCAAGGAAGGATTTTCTTTCTTAACAAAAACAGCTTCTTTAATTCTCCTCTCAAACCAATTCTTTTCTCTGGCTCAGATTTGTACCTCACTGTCCTCAAAGGAGTGACCCGATGTACATCAGACTGAGGTCTTGTGTTGCTCTCGCGTCTTTACTTGTGAAGTGTCTGTTTTGTTTCTCCAGTGTGACGTTCACTGCCGTCTTCACTACACTGAATGGAGTAAATCACATCTGCTCTGTTTGTGGCTCGGTGTTTTGTCCTTTGGGTCGACCAGTTTCTGTCTTAAAGTGTTTGTAGGTTTGTTTTCGTTGTTATTTCATGTAGGGATAGTTTTTGGGCTTGTTTTTTCTTTAAGGTAGGGACGGTGTACGTATAAGAGCTGGCACCGTCCTTATTTTATGCTGGCCGGTTCCCCAGGGTCTGTTCTTTTTAATTTGGGAGCATGGGATAAGATTTATTTTTTTTTTTTTTGGTTCCGTCGTCCAAAATACAAAAAGACAAAAAAAAAAAAAGAACATTTAATCCTTAACTTTGTCTTCCGTGTCCCTTCTTAAATATGTTCTGATCTATTTTGGGTCGTAACAGTATCTCATTATAAAGCGTTTTAATGTCAGAGAATCAGGAAGTGCACGTTAGCATGCGCTTATAAACTCATCGTGGTGAGTAATGTGGACGCTCTGAACGCAGAAGATAAGTGAGGAAGAACTTCGGATCACTGCAAACTGTTTACAATCAAATAATTCTGTTTTTGACATTTTTAAGACGGTAAAAATCAGGTACAGAGACTTTTAATTACAGCTCATTCGATATTCCAGATTTGTTTTTTATATTTTTTTTTTATTCTACGATGTAATATCTGATTTAAAGTGCTGATTTTTTACACCTTTGTGAGAATTTCGTGTTAAATTTCCACAGAAGCGTGACTGGACTTGTATATGGTTACATCCCTCACACAGAGTTTTAAACAGCACATCCGCAGCCCTACAGGTGAGTGACAGGTGAGTGACAGGTGAGTGACAGGTGAGTGACAGGTGAAAGGGGGCGGGGCCTCTACAGCAGCAGGAAGCATCACATCATCACAGTTTAACACATTTCATAAACAGTTCACAATGTTAGTGTTGTTTGGGTTAAAAGTGCGTACGACAGGTTTTCAGCGTTTTTCTAATTCTGATTTGGTTTATCATATTTTTACGTCAGTTAAAGGTGCATTGTGTAACTTTTCGGTTGCTTGTTGCTTGCTCTACCTGGAATGTTCCACAGTGTGACATTAAACAGCTCTACTTTGCGTTTACCATATTTTTCGGACAGTAAGGCGCAGTGGATTATAAGGCGCATTAAGCCTGATGTGGTTCAGCTTCTTTCGGCCTAAAGGACACGACTCAGTGGAAGACGTGCGTTCATTCTGCGACGAGGCGACAGCGACAGTGCGATGAGTCGACGCAGAACTAGACTTCGCCCTTTACTTCACGAGGCTCCTGACTACAGCTGCCATAACGCTCCAACAATCCATCAAGCGGTGCGGCTTCGTAGTTTAACCAAAGTCGTACAAAAAATTTTGACAGATTTTTGAGCGCCGCGTGCCACATAAAATCGGTTTGAGGTCAGTAACACAACCAGAATTAATACATAAGACGCACTGTCGATCGTCCAAAAAATACGTTATTCAATTACAGGTGGTTTTATAGCTCAAAAACACCTAGAAAAACAGGCGTTCTGAACTTGAGCGGAGTCGCTTCTCCACAGATCTGACCTGTAACTTGGTCTTGGTTTGATCTCCATGAAGATAGAAAGGTTTAATGCCACTTTAGCTGTTTTCAAGTCGGTCAGAATGGTGCTGGTGTCAGTTCAAAGTGTTCACCGGTGAATGAGCCGAGTTCACACATTTACATGAACCCATGACGCGTCATCGACAGAGGAAGTGGATTTACCAACAAATAAAAACAAGGCCGTACGAAAACGGACAGCACAGGGAGGAAAATAACAATCATGGATCACATCATCGACACCAGCGAGAGTTTGTAGTTATACAAGTCATTATTTATGTGCCGAACTCTGCTACAAAATCAATCTGCTGAGAAGAAGACGACAGCGACGCCCAAACCAAAAATGTAATCTTATCAGGAGAACACGGACACATGCAAGAAGAACAGGACAGAGTACCGTATTTTCTGCACTATTAAGCGTTCTGGATTATAAGACGCACTGTCATTAAATGGTCTATTTTCAAACTTTTTTCCCCAATTAAACCGCGTGGGACTTTAAAGGAAACCCAACAGTGTGATGGGTGAGTGGTTTTGTTTGTTTGTTCGTTCACGGTGACTCTGGGCTTTGTTCAGTTGTGGCGTGTAGGGAGGGTGCTGTCTGGGACCAACGGATTGTCGGCGTGTTCGCAGTGACTCAGTTGTTCAGTCGTGTCTAGAAGTGGCACATTGCGCTCGCTTTTTCGGTTCGTTCCTCCGTTCCGTTCCTCGTTGGCGTGGAGTGATGAGTGTGTCTGCGGGTGTGTTTCGTTGTGCGGTCGCTGTCTGCTCTGTGTGTGTTTGCGTGTTCTGCGGGTGGTGCGGCTTTGTAGTTTACTGAAGTCGTACTGGTACACCCGAGTGGATTTGTGTATGGGGCGCTCTGGATTGTGGCGCGCACTCATTTTTTGATGCGGTTAGAGGGTAAAGACCACGTCTAATCATCTGTAAAATACTGTAGTTTTTGTAGACTCAAAACTTTTAATTTCATACATCTCAACTGCTTTTTGTTTGTTTATTTTCCTGTGTGTGACCTGGATGAACGTGCTGACGTCTTCTGTGTCGTCACGGTTCGCTTAGAAAAAAGTTGTACTTTTCGGTTTCTGAACGCTCTGATTTCCGGCGTGAACACGTGAGTAGGTTAAACATTATGTGCGTTAACCGGCACCGGCACATTTCTCTGTCGGCCTGAAAACTCCCACTGTGAAACACTCCATTTGACGAAGCCTCCACCACAAAAGTTACACGATGCACGCAAGGGGGAAAAGTTGAAAAAACAAAGTGTTAAAAATACAGTTTTAAGTTGTAAATAATTTGTAAAACAGAATCCCTCTGTCTCTGTCATCATGAGGAACACAACATCCAAAATGCAAAGATAATTTACGCACAAGGAAGGACTTTTTCCGACACTTTAAATGAAGCATGTTTTAGAGGTGTGAGTGTTCTAACCTGTCGTACGCACTTTACGGATTAGTTTGGGTTTAAGTGAGTTTGAAGGAGCAGGTTGTTATTTCTACACAGACTCAAACTGTGGGTTAGTTTCAGATTCAGACTCAGTTCAGACAGTTTTTAGTTTCAGCCTCGGCCTCCGTTCAAACTCACGAGGAAAGAGTTAAAGACAGAAGCTCGACCAGAGTTTGGGAGAGAAACGTTTAAG